CTGGGGTTCCCTTTAGTTCCTTTTTTTAAATGCTCTACTTTTGCTCCAGTCATTTATTTCCTTATATCAGTCCCAGGTTCCAACCTAATTTCAGTACCTGATAAGAAAATAAATGGAAAAGTGGCTTGGAGAAACTGGGGCCCTCAGTATTGAGATAGATTTTTCAGATTTTCATAAATACGTACTTATATAACATACTAGAGGCCTGGTGCATGGAATTCGTGCACCCTCTCCAGTCTGGGACCCCTCGAGGGATGTCCTACTACCAGGATCGAGCCTAAATAGGCAGTTGGACATCCCTCTCACAATCCAGGACTGCTGGCTCCCAACCGCTCGCTTGCCTGCCTGCTTGATTGCCCCTAACTGCTTCTGCCTGCCAGCCTGATCACCCCCTAACCACTCCCCTGTCAGCCTGATCGACACTTAACTTCTCCCCTGCTGGCCTGATTGCCCCTAACTACCCTCCCCTGCCAGCATGGTCACCCCTAACCGTCCTCCCCTGCAAGCCTGATTGCCCCCAACTGCCCCAATTGGCTACCTCCTGTATGCCCCAAACTGGGGACCATTCCTGCAACTCAGGTATGTACTTCAACCTGGAATGGAACCATGACCTCCTGGTTCATAGATCAACAATCAACCACTGAGCCATTTTTAATTCAAACCCATGCTTGTCTGACTCATAGACCTAGATCCTATGTAACCATGCCTATCAAAAAACTCTGTTTTTTATTCATGGTGATTCATAGCCTGGAAACTATTGTCCTTTTTCCTAATATATATATTTTTTTCTTTCTTAGTACATGTATTTGATTGCAAAATTGAGATTTTTATTTCAACTATCCTAAAATCCAGGACCCAAAGCATATGTTTCATAGTTTCTGAATCCTCCATCTTTAGATAAAGATTTCTCTGTCTTGACACATCTGTCATTTTATATTGGATAATTTCTTGTTGTGGGGCGCTGTCCTGAGATTGTAAGATGCTAAGCAGCATCCCTGCCTGGCCTCTCTTTTCTAGAAGCCAGTAGCCATTTCTCCCATTCCAGCTGTCAACACCAAAAGTATCTCCAGACATTGCTCCTAGTGGGGGGGTGAGGGGGGACTCCTGACTGAGAACCACTAATTTAGAAGATAAAGCAAATTGATATTTTTAAAATTCAAGTTGCCTTTCTGTTTGAACAAATAGTTTCTTGATTAGAGATTGCATTTTCCCCAAGTGGGAATTTGTTAAGATAATAATAAGGAAGTTCTCAAAGAAAAAAACAAAATTCTGAAGAATAAAAAAGGAATCTCACTTTTTGCATACTTAACTAAATCTTCCAGTTGATTGCAACTTTTAAATACCATTTAATACCCCTAGCTGTTTTGGCTTAGTGGATAGAGCATTGGCCTGTGTACTGAAGGGTCCCAGGTTCGATTCTGGTCAAGGGCATGTGCCCAGGTTGTGGGCTTGGTCTGCAGTACGGGGCGTGCAGGAAGCACCTGATCAATGATTCTCTCTCATCATTGATGTTTCCATCTCTCTCTCTCTCTCCCTCTCCCTCTCTGAAATCAATAAAAATATATCTTAAAAAATAAATAAATACCATTTAATCCTTAATCCTCAATTTGAGGAACTAGAGAACATTTATACCCACAAATTAGAGCATCATTAGGATGGATTTCTTTATGCTCAAGTCGTCGACGAGTATACGAAGAAAACATGGTAAAAAAAATATGGTTTATAGGAAGACGAGTTACAAACTGTTTTCATAACCAGCATCAAAAATACTATATAGAACCAAAATAAAAAAATTAGTCTGAAAAAGAGACGTTTTTAACAAAAAAATTATTGGGGAAGGGGTTAATAACCACATATTTCATGATCTCTTTCTAAATTAACCTGGTCTCAATAAACAGTTAATAGGATGATAACTACAGATATTAACTTATCGTTCAATTCTTATATCAGACAGAACTGTTTCCTGAGGAACCACCCCTGACCCAAGTCTCGGTTAGGTGCTCCTCCATTGTGTTCTCTTTGCACCCTGTACTTGGCTTAGAATACTGTGAATGCGAGAATCTAGATTTTATTATCTGGTTACTTCTCTACATCTTTATCTAGGTTAGGGGTCACAGTCTTCCATGCCTTCAGGCAGGTAACATAAATGAATGCACATGTTAGATAATATGTCAAAGTTAAGTAGGAATTAACACTTAGACTCAATATTTTTGATATGGAAGAAGTGGTAGAGACTATGCAAGTTAGATAATTTATACCCCATGTAAAGAGAGCAGTCAGTATTCAGATCCAGCTAATCACTGGCATGTCGGAATGGAAGCCCAGTGTTACCCAAAATTTCAGAGAATCAGAAATTATATAAAGTTTCCTGATATTTAAGTGTTAGCTATTAATTCAAAATTTTAGTTATAAAATATTATGCAGGGCAATATACATCTGTTTCCGTTTGTAATCTCTGATAGAAATTATGAATACTACTAAAGTCAGGGATTAAATCTAAATGCTTATCATCTTAAAAGTATAGTAAAAAAAAAAAAAGCATAAAATGGATTAACAATAAATAGAGTTAAGGAAATGGAGGCTATGAGTATTGACTCAATATTTTTGATATGGAAGAAGTGGTAGAGACTATGCAAGTTAGATAATTTATACCCCATGTAAAGAGAGCAGTCAGTATTCAGATCCAGCTAATCACTGGCATGTCGGAATGGAAGCCCAGTGTTACCCAAAATTTCAGAGAATCAGAAATTATATAAAGTTTCCTGATATTTAAGTGTTAGCTATTAATTCAAAATTTTAGTTATAAAATATTATGCAGGGCAATATACATCTGTTTCCCTGTTTGTAATCTCTGATAGAAATTATGAATACTACTAAAGTCAGGGATTAAATCTAAATGCTTATCATCTTAAAAGTATAGTAAAAAAAAAAAAAGCATAAAATGGATTAACAATAAATAGAGTTAAGGAAATGGAGGCTATGAGTATTGATTTCTTTTCCAAAAAGCAAAAGATTAGTCATTACCTTTTTTAAAAAATCTTTATTTTTTTGAAAGTATTACATAGGGCCTCCTTTTCGCCCCATTAACCTCTTCTGGCCCTCACCACCCCATTGGATTAGTCATTACCTTGAGGAATGGCAGGGTCACAGAAAATTTTTTACAACAGTGTTTTTCAGTCTTTTTGGTTTCACCTCTTTGGATAAATAAAATAAATAAAATTTTAAAATAAAGAAACTAGAAGGGAAAACAAATTAAAGAAATTATAGTATTCAATTTGCTTTTCAAGCAGCATGTGTTTGCATTCTGCCAAACTCCCCGAGATTCTGATTTAGCCCCTCCCTGTTAAATCATCACTGTATTATTGAATGAGAGGACAAGTATATTCAAAGGCCAATTGGAAGCATCCACCAGAAGAAAGTGACTAGGGGAAACTGGAAAGTAGAAACTGAAGGTTCAGTGGTAGTGTTAAGAAGAAATAGGTCAAAAGCAAATTTAGAGGCTTTAGCCTGGAAAACGTATAAGCACTTAATCTAAGAGTATGTTCCTTCCCTTTTTTCTTCAAAATTTCAAGCAAAGTCAAGTATTTCCGTCACACTAAAACCTTTAGTAATTGATATCTTTTGTGAAGATAAATGCAGAATTATTTCAACAGAGGCATATGTAGGTGTGAACTTCATGAACAGTTATTTTTATACTGATTAATGAATCCTTTCATTGGAAATGTCTATGACTCATGAGGCAGGTCTAGTCCATTAAAATTTAATGCCTGGGACTAAATACATTTCATACTGAAGTTCTGCATGCTCCCTTGTCCTAGAAGAGACCTTAATATTCTCTTGACTACAAAACTGCTTTTCTTACTTTTCTTCTTACAAACATGAACAGGCTGTGACAATTACTGTGCTGGGTAAATTGGGTCAATGAAGAAAATTACTTAGAAAAGCACATCCTATCTAATAAAGAGGGATTATACTAATTAACCCTCACACCATCGCAAAGATGGAGGTACCCACAGCCAATAAGGAGAGAATATGCTAATTGACTGAACACTCTCAAAGATGGCGCCACCCACAGCCAATAAGGAGGGGATATGCTAATTGACTGCCATGCCCTCAAAGTTGGCAATGCCCACAGCCTCAAGATGGCTGGCAGGGGAGGGCAATTGTGAGTGATCAGGCCAGCAGGGGAGGGCAGTTGGGGGAGACCGGGCCTGCAGGGGTGGGCAGTTGGGAGGGACTGGGCCAGCATGGGAGGGCAGTTGGGGGGGACTGGGCCGGCAGGGGAGAGCAGTTGGGGGTGATTGAGCCCTCAGGCGAGCAGTTAGGCATTGATCAGGCTGGCAAGGGAGTGGTTAGGGGGTGATCAGGCTGGCAGGCAGAA